AGCAATCACACTTTCCGGGTCGTAAGGAACGAGCCCGGCCCCTCTAAATCCTCCCTGGACGTTTTGAACCGTCATCGTCTGCTGAAAAGCGGCCAAAAACGTGGGAAAGAAGTCCTCCTTCGAAATGTGGGTGGTGCCGGCCCGGACTCTCTTCTCAATTTAACCACCGTACGCCCGTTTTAACGGGCTAAAACACCTAACGTCGAGAGGCTGGAGGATATGAGATGAATGAGGCGGTATATAGAGGGTAATAATATCGTGCTCCTTATAATAGAGCTTAAAATCGGTCGAGTGGTGGCTTTCGTGCCCGTCGAGCACTAAGAGACGATATTTACCCGTCGTTCGCGGTTTTGTGTGCTGATCAAAGTGCCGGATCCATTCCAGACCTCTCTCGTTCGTGGTCCAGCCGTTAGGAGACGTGGCGATAACCCAGTCAGGTGGGAGAGAGCTGTTTTGGTACCAGGTGGAGAGATGGTATTTACCCGAAACAATAATAAACGGCGGAACCGTCCAGCCTAGCGCGTTGACGCCCTGAATCACTGTCACCCATTCTCGATTGCCAGGCTGGACCAACTTCGCGCCTGAGCGCCTTTCGGCACTCGTCACAACCATGCCTGTCGAGATCATACCCATTAGAAACCCGGTCTCGTCAAAATTGTAGATATCCGCGTCCACCACGCCATATTTTGCGACCATATTCTTTACGAGCGCGAACCACGCGCGAATCACGTCGGGATCTTCACATTGGGCCCTCTGATAGTCATACCGACGAAAGAAACGCGTCCGGAGCTCTGGTTGTTGCTTAATAAAGTTGGACGCCCATCGCTTTCCGACGGGCGGCGTGTTGCGCTCCGCCAGTAGTCGGTTAGCTATATCTTCCACACCACCGAGTCGGAGAGGGTGCGATCGCGCATCGAGGTCGAGAGTATACTGAACAATCGTGTCCTCTTCGAGGGAGGTCAGGTTTCGTGAGTTGGGTATGCTATCGTATCGAGATTGGGTACCCTTGAGTCGCGTACCCAGGGTAGAACGAGGGACCGAGTAGAGTTTAGCTGCCTCTCGAATACTTAGTTTTGGGTTTTTCTTGATAGCTTGTTGGGCAAGGATCAACTGACATTCATTTAAAGATATATTTAGCTTTGGTGGTAGAGTAATATCTATTCAAAGTTGATGGTCGTGATTTTGAGGGAAAGTGGCCAGCTCGCTTATCTGGCCAGCTCGCTTATCATCCACGTTATCTAATTTTACGCCTCGGAACGGATAGTCCGGATTATATATAGTATATAGCTAGATATCTCTATATTATACGGTATTATTACGATTATAGTAGTAACTAGATTCGACTATAGTTCTCGCGCGTACGATCGTAGAGCTATAAAATATAGTAAGTATCTAACACTAAATTCGGTCTCGCTCGAGAGAATAGAGATTATCGTTAATAACCTAAAAGAAATAGACGAGACTAAAGATATCGTCGAAATCTATATTCTATCGAAACCGACCCTCCTTACTAAGTTTATACTCGTTAATAAGCTTATTCGTAATAAACTAATTCGTAAATATAAGTTTATCTATAACGCTTATTAGAGAGTCTAGAACTTATATATTCTTTATATTTATCTTAATAATATAATTAATCGGATTAGACGTATACTAAAGTACGACTATTCTCTATATTCTAGTAAAGATAAAAAGTAACGAGACTTTCGTACGAAAGGACTACTCGTAGTTATATTTAAGAAAGGCTCTAGCGACTTAATAGATTAAGTATTTTCGGTATACTTCGATGAGATTAGAGGAGGAGAAGTAGCCGGTCTCGCGGTAAACGTATTTATAGAATCTATAGGGAAATTAGTTAGCTAAGGTAAGACTAATATAATATACTTACTATAATAGAAGGAAAGTCTAACCTAGTCTAACGTCTTTATATAGATATAATACCGTTTAGGGTACTATCCTTATACGCTAGCGGGTAGATATTAGTTATAGAGTCTAGATAGCCGACTACCGCGACGAACGATTTCTTCGGCCTTAAGTTTTTTCTTAAGCTTCGTGCTGCGTAGCGGCTACGGGTAATTACTATAGTAGAGAGTTAAACGAGCGCCGTCGTAGAGGGCTATAGATTAGGTAAAGATAGAGGGATATAATAAATAGAGAGTAAATCGTCGAAGGATAAGGAACGGCTTTATATTTATTTATTTAGTCTCGTTTAACGTCCTTCGGGTCACATTTAAGGTCCCACGTAGACGCCAGCTTCCACTGGAAATCCCTTACGATTCCTCCTCTTCCTGATTAACTAGGACCCTAGCCAACCAGCTTCTATAGACTCAGTCTATCAAAGTTGACCATCTTCACCACTATCGCCAG